TATTGTCTCATTTAGTTGAATTCAACTTTTAATCTGTTCCAATCATACAAGGGGAAGTCTTTGTCGAGTTGGCGTTAGCGTTGATATTGATATGCGTCGGTTTTTAAATTCTGGTGGTTAAGTTACATAGTGTTTTCTTCTTTCTTTAGATAACCGAATGCAGAATATTGAATTGGAGTACACGGATCATTTGACTCTTAGCTACATGAATGGATGGAGATCTATTTGCAAAGAACGCATAAGTCTACGTTTAAGACTTAATTATGAGTTAAATTTTCTTTTTCAAGGATTAAATTTAATGATTTTGTGAAATGTGTCGATAAACATAGTATATTTTTTATATTTTGCACACTTGTAATTAGAACAATTTGTACCTTAATTTCTAATTCTTGAAAACTATCTGAACTAATTAATTGTAATCCATGGAAACGGACTTCCATAAGTTATTTATCAAACATAATAATAATTTTGTTCATATTTATTGTAATTACTATTTTTTACACCAAAATATATACTATATGATCAGAATTGTCCAGAATTGTCTAGAAATTATTCCTCAAATCTTTAAATGGCCCCCCAGAATTGTCCAGCACTTTCTAGAAATTGGCCAGCTTGTGGTCTGGGATATTTTTTTCGTTGTAGTAGACCCTAATGGTTTGTCTTTTGTACATTTAATTCAATAATATTTTTAATGAAAATTTTTCTTAGAAATTCTAATTAATTTTTTCTTTTATTTTTTTCAATTGAAATGAAGGTATTATATATTTTAATTTTGCGAAATATTGACATTCACTTCAGACGGAATATGTCTCTACCAACTAGTGATGGCAACGGGGCCGCGCCCCACCTTAGACGGGGGACCCCGCCCCATTTGTTAGTTTTTTTTTTCCAATTAAAATGCAAATTCAAAATTTTAAAATCCAAAGCAAATAATGTTCAAATTAACTACATCAATATCAAAAACAAACACTCGAAACAAAAAATGTCTATAACAATTTTTTTTAATCCTTCACGGGGCGGGGCATCTCCTCCCCGGCAACCTGTTCGGGGCGGGGCCCCCCCGGAGACGGGGCGTGACAGGGAAAATTGCCATATCTACTAGCAACTCAACTGATCATAGCCCTATTTGAACCCCGATTTTAGAATAAATTTTGTAAAAGGTGATTTTTTTAGAACGTATTGTTAAAAAGTAGGGGAAAAAAACCTTAAATAATTTACGTGTACAATTATTTTATTCAGGGAATGTGTGATCTAAAATGAGTTTGGAGAGTCTTAAAAAGTAGTGCTCAAACATAAGAGTATAGAACGATGATAGTAGAGGTAATGTCTGAAAAAAAAAATTAGAAGTAGGACATTACAAAATTATTGAACATGCATAAAATGGAAACTTCATTCTCAAAAAGTAGCTTAAATTTTCTTTATGTACATCGGAGAAAAGAGGACACTACTGAATCTTCATACAAGAAAAACAGCAAAATGCACACATATTCATATAAGTGTTGGCATTTTGCTTGTAGCACACATACATTAAGACATTCACAAGGGATATCATATTCATATCTAGAGAAAAATGATAATTGAGAAGCATCCAATCCAAAGATAGTACTACTTGGAAGTATTTTTGGAAGATTGAAGCCAGTGGGCAAAGTTTTGTAGTGTAGTGGCATCTGCCCTATAGTGCTTTTGTGTGAATTCCAACAACTCTGACCATTTGAAATCTGGGTACTTCCTAGCCTCTTCATTGCCCAATAGATCTTGAGGGGGCCTCAAAATTTTGTCCTCGTTTGGGCTCACAAAATACACCAATGATCTTCTCACCTGCTCCTTGTTCACCACTGCCCTGTGCAGGCAACTCTTGTACCTTCCATTGCACAATGCCTACATGTTCATTTATGAAAATTATGTACGTGTCATACATATAATGCTTGAAAAGAAAGATTGGTTGATAGTACAATCGAAGTATACGACATGTAAGTACCATGAATGTATCACTAATGTTAACAGCAAAGGCATCGGGGCGAGGTCGAATTACTTGCCACTTGTTATTCGCAAAGATTTCAAGTCCTTCAACTTGATCTTGATGAAGTATTGTTAAGGAATTTGGATCACAATGGGGACCAGTTCCAAGGGTGAGTCCAGCTTCTTTGCAAGGTGGATAGCTATTGAACCTCATTATTGAGTTACCATCTTCAAACAATTTCCTATAGTGTGACCTATCAACTCCCAAGCTAATTGCCAATAGTTCCATTATTACTAGAGATAAATTTCTCATTGCTTCACAATATTTCTGATAAACCAACCTGAAATAAGAATAAAAAAATCCAAGTTAAGTAATTTCTTTAATTGTTCAGTTTTGTGCCATTATGCATGGTGAATGCAATACAAGTAAATTAAGTACTAGGCAGGGTTAAGAAAAATGAACTAAAATCTTGTGCATCGTACAGTAGGCAAACTAACCCGGCCTCTTCAAAATCATTCCCCAGAACAGACTTGAAATAATTAATCACATCAAGTTCCTGGGAATTGTCATGGCTATATCCAAATGAAAATGTCTCCTTCCATGGCAGTTTTGAAGAATATCTATCAGCATGGGCACCCGAATAACCCCATACACTGCCTGGATTCCTTTTTACAGCAAATTTTCTGCTCATCGGAAGATCAAAAAAGGCATTCACATGCTGATGCGCATCACGAATTACAGTTGAATCTACACCATGGTTGATAACCTGGAAGAAACCATGGTTCGAACAGGCGGCCTGAATCTGCAAAGCTGCAAAAGAAATGGCTTCTTCATCGCCATTAAAGAAGCCCTTTAAGTCTACTGGAGGATCTGTTAGCTCATCTTGTGTGATACAAGTTAAATCTTCATGAGGCCATAGGAATTGTGTGGGCAAATTTGCTTGTTTTTGAAGTTGGGATGTGTCGAAAACAAATACCGGCGAACCATTTTCGATATTATTTTTGATGCTTAACTGAGGACGAAGAACTAGAGTTGAGGCATTTGAATCCATTGAGTAGGCTAAAGACTGGAATAATTAGAAGACAATGAGCAGCTATGTATATATAGCTAAAGAACAAGGAAAAGATAAGAATTAACAGGGTGTGAATCAACTACATTTTAATGAATTTCAAAAATTTGAGAGGTCCTCAATTGAGATTTTAGTTCATTTTATTAAAAATTTAGGTGTTCCAACTAAGCTTTTAATTGATTTCCAAAAAATTAAAAATTAAAAATTTAGGCATCCTCAATACTAGTGTGAATTTATAAGGATTTCAAGAGATTTGGATTAATTTCAAGCTTAACTGAAAGGTAGAATTAAGTGATTTACGGGATGTGCTCAACTAAGATTTTGACGGATTTTAAAAGATTATAAATTTTAATGAATTTCGTGGACTTAAATAGATTTTCACAAATTCAATAAGAATCTTATTTAAAAATGGTGAAGTTTCAAAAGATTTTGTAATATGTAATTTTAAACTTGAAATCCATACAGATCTTTTAAAGTTTCTTTATTTGATGAAATTCTTGTAAATCTGTTAATTATTGAGGATACTTAAATTTTAAAGAATTTCATTGAAATTCATTAAAATCTTGAGTTGCAACACTTGAAATTCATTAGTATTTATAATCCTTTAAAATTCGTTAAAATTTTAGTCGAGGTCACCCCATAACACTAACCCCGTTTATTGGCAAGATCTCTTTAATCGTAATCTCTATTATATAAAGTTTTTAGATGAAATAATTTAACATATTTTTGCATCTTTTGAATACTTAAAAATTCATAGAATTGAAAGATAAGTAGTGGGAATTCCAAAAATTTAACGTGGAAGTATTGACATAATTTCATAACTATAAATCCAATTTAATTATGGTATATCATCCTAATTAATTAATCTCTAGTCGACCAATTTTCAACTTGTATTTAGTCGTGTTTGAGCCCCTTTTTTTCTCGACTTCATTTTTTTCAAAATTCATTTTCAACAACACATTTTTCAATGAAATAATTTTACACGTAATTCTTACTTTTTAACCACTCATTCTTTCAAAAATCACTATTTAAAAATATTTGTTTTTTAGCACTCAAACAAAGGCTTAGATTTGCAATCACACAAGAATCCCATGATTTGGCTTCTCTCTTATTTTATAATAATAACACTAACACTGTTCAAATCTTTGTCTTTTTCCCAATGATTTGTTCTCTTTTTATACAAATTTTATTAGGACTATGCTACACTGCCAGGGCCACATGGGCCGTGGCAGTGCCGGGGGCAGAATGGAAAAAACCCATTTTATTATTTATCTGATCACAGTTCAATAGTCTGTAACAATCCATGTTTGCGAGTTCCTAGGTCAGCAAAACAACAAATATTGTTCGCAATCAATTTCCAATATAATTTTGTCTTTCACATATCGTTCAAAGTTAAAAATTATTTTTGAGATTAAAAAGTCTTTTTTGGACCTATTTAAAATTCATTAGACGGGATTTTACTAATATACGATAACTTCGGCAAAAAACTCTTCTACAGAAAAGCGTTACGGCATGTTACTCTTTTTATTATGAGCTGGGGAAATATATTTTTTATTCTTAAATTTTGAACTTTGTCGTTTTCTGAGAAAATTAATATGAAAATTACATTTCAATGCTGTACTTTATATTTTGATATTACACACAAAAGACATTTATTTATGTTTTGACTAAAATGAACAAACATAAGCAAGGCAACCTTGGGCCATCCGGACGAGAAAATTCGAACATTACATGTACACCTTATCCTTTTAAATTAATGCACATGGCAAGATTTTATTTAGTATTAAAATTGATAGGAATTCAAGTGCAGACAACTAGAAATTTTGTCGATTTAAAGGTAGGCTTTATTTTAAACATTGATTCGAAGGATAATAAAAAGTCGAGAACAATGTAAAAATCAAGATTCATAGTATATGCATAATCGATACACATGGTTATATATACGTCATATTCCACAAGGCAATTTGATCTTCAATCGTTATCCATCTCCTCAGGTTGCTCGGTCGGGTTTTTCGAGTTGTCCTCTTCCACTTTAGTATGTAGTGATTCTGATGTTGGCGCTTCTACTTTTATAGGTAAAGTAGAATCCTGATAGGAAAATACGAGAACTTCAAAATTGTTGGGATAAGAACATTAAATTCATAAATGTGTAGACAATATACGAGAATACCTTCAAGCACTCTGTATCATTCAATGACTCATCCGCCTCCCCCACATCCTTGTCTACTTCCATTTCATCCTAATAATTTTGAAAGAAACAATATAAAAGTACTAAAATAATTTACACAATTTTTATATCAATAATATAATGTATTAAGCACACGTTCAATCTATAATAAACATCATACCTACATTACTTCAATTTTTACAGATAACAATGTATTGAAATTTTGAGGTGGAGCCATGCTACTTGTCCCAGGATTAAATCTCGGCTCAAACCAGGGGCTCCAAATGGCGCCCCCCTATTGGAGGGGGATCTGCTGGGGCAGACCTTGGTGCCCCTGGTTTGACCCAAGACAACCAGTCTTTTCCTTTGAGGTGATACATGCAGCACTAATGCTGTACATTTTATGGATTTCACTGAAATAATGTCTCACATAGTCAACAAAGTTAAGAAGCTTCTAATGCTCGTTGAAACCACTCGTAGAGCCTCAATTTTGGATGTAACCATCCTATATCGAGATTAAATAAATTTATTGAGAACAAAGGTTTTCTAGATAATTGAAGTATTAACCGGCATGCGTGCAAGGTTCGAATAGGAGAAAGGCTGCCTTATCTGTGGTTCACTAACGAAAATAGACAAATTTCTCCTTCGACTTTCAATCAAAGACTTCATAATTGCACTCCATTCTACACTTATTTGATAAAACTTTCTACTACAGGCATTTGATAAGGCAATAAAGTTGTTTTGCTATCAAAAGACAACGAAATGAGAGATACCTGATCTTTAGCTTCAGGTTCAACAGATTCCATCTTCACTCTGCTAGATAGAAAAGCACACGCGTGAATCAAGGACACAATAGGGGATGATCTATGCTTAATGACACCAACTTTTTTTCTCAGAATTTGCCACATATTCAGAAATAGAAAGCACACGTGTGAATCGAGGATAGGGAAGTATACCTCAAGTAATCAACATTAACATCATCATCAGGATCTTTTCTTTCATCTTTATTATCATCTTCATCTTCGTCTGCCTGAAATTGAAGCAGCATAAATGAGCATTCACATAATTATCCATATTTTCTTTTCCAATATACAAATAACTTGTTCGGGTTTCTTTCGACAAAGTCATTCTCTAGTCATGAAGATGTAACAAAAGGGAATTGCTACGCATTTATCTCTAGACACCCTCCGTCTGATATCTGATTAAGTTATTTCCTGGTACTTAAACTTTACATTGTTCCTTAAAATGAAATGATCGTGGTAAAGAGGGGTGGAATAGAGCTATAAAATGAACAAAAAGCATTTGTATCTTGGTAGAGTTGACATTTTCAGGAATTAATAAGAATACATGAAAGATATATAATGAATAGTACTCGTGATCTTTTGTTAACTGAAACAATACAGGGTTGTAAAAACAAACCTCTGGGATTTCCGTATCAGGCGGCCGCTCTTGGAACTGTACACTTGGTGCATGTTGAAGTCTTGAGAGATTATCAAGGAGCTTTGCTCTTATATTATCCAACATTTCACGAGAGTTCTTATTTTCCATGTTACTCGGAGCAACGTGAAGAGTGTAATCCGGACCAAAATACTCAATATATTCGTGCTCTGGCACCCTATCGTCAACCTCAATTCCAAGAGCTACTCCTGTCTGCTCAAAATTCAAAAGGGCAATATTCAATCAAAGATGAAGATAATGAAAATTTGAGAAAAGAAAAAGTTTCCTCTAAAAAGGGCTTGTAGAGGACATATTTGCACAACGATCATTTGACTTTATACATTTTTGAAATGATTAAAAGTTCATCATTGGACCTAGTTCAAAGTTAACTAATATACATACAACATACCTCGTAGCACCAGCAACGAGCAACATTGCGTATTGTGTAGCCACCTCCACCCAACAAAAGAAGTGGCACGTTAAAAGATCTCATGAATCTGACACACTCCGCGTGACCTTTAACGGATATATTGAAGCAGCCTAACCTATCCCCAGATAAGGAATCAGCTCCACATTGTAAGACCACAGCTCCAGGCCTAAAAACATCCATCACCTTTCTCATTATTGGCTTAAACAACGACTGATAGCTTTCATCATCAATTCCATCATCTAATGGAATGTTAAGAGCATAGTATTTCCCCTTCCCAAATCCAATATCTTTTATGTCCCCTGTACCAGGGAAATAATCTCCAAATTTGTGAAATGAAACGGTCATGACCCTGTCTGTAATATAAAAAGCCTCCTCAACACCATCGCCATGATGAATATCGATGTCGACGTATAGAACACGCTAAAACAATGGAAAAATGGAGAAATCAAATTCAGGAATGTGAAACTAAGCAAGTCCTCAACTCCAATTTAGGGAAATCTGATCTAAAGAGTGTTCTTTATAATTAAGCAGCAAGAAACTATTAAAACTGTGTGTACATAAAAATAAATGTAAATGTAAAGGAAACAAGATATAATAGTCAAGAAGTCACTGTTATCCTGCACGGTGTTAGAAAAAGAGACCAACCTCGTGAAACTTGAGGAGCTCCAAAATAGCCAGAACTATGTCATTCACATAGCAGAAACCGGAGGCCTCGCATTTCTTTGCATGATGCAGTCCACCAGCCCAATTTACCGCAATGTCACAATGTTGATGGTTTAACTTAACTGCTCCTCCAATAGAACCTCCAGCATAAGTTTGACAGAAGGAGTAAAGACCGTCAAAAACAGGGCAATCTTCGCCAACATTAAATCTCTTCAGCTGTCTCGAATATTCCTGCACTGTATCTGGCGTGATTCTTCTCAAGAATGAGACATAATCATCTGCATGAAACCTGCATAGATCCTTCTCTCGAGCAGGATTAGGCTTCAATACATGCATATGTTGTAGTAAACCATAGTGAGCGAGGAGAGCATGAGTCATTCGCATCCTGTGTGGCTTCATTGGGTGACCTTGCCCATAATAGTAATTTCCAACCTCTGGATCATAGAAGTAGCTCACTTTTCTCTTAACCGTATCTGATGCAGATGGTAAGGAATTTCCGCCTATATCCATTTTCCTATCATACAAATCATGACAAAGATAACTCAGATTGGATTTACTCAATAGGTTGCAAAGACAGCTTAATTAAAATTTGGTAATCAGAATTGCTATTTGTAAGAATGATGGTACATGCACATAAAATGACTCATTGCAGACATGAGGAGACTAAAAGGAAAATGAGAAACGACAGGAAAGTTCAACATGAATGTCATACAAAGAAACAGACCTTGGCTAAAACTCAAGGCAAGGAAACCAATTTAGAGGCAGTAAGAGTGACAGGGAAATGACAGTATTTTCCTGCTCTGCAGCAAATGAAATAGTCAATATTAGAAGCAACAATAACTAAAACTCACAGATTTATATGCACGTTGAGAAATCATAACAGTCATTGTATCCACGTGCCATAATAAAATGAAAATGTCTACTCCTAATTGTTATTTCATTCCTTTTGCATAGTATCTTCAGAATATCACCCAACCTATTTCAACCTTAGACATGGAGAGAAAGCATCTCAAAAAGCCATTTCTACATACTGCTTCAAAAGAGCCGTAGGCACACACCTTGAAGAACTTCTCGTGCGATGCATTTATTAGGAGCCTGAGAACTTAGACTTCAAGTGCCCTTTCAGATGGCTTATGCTTTGACTTATTGAGGCGCGCTCCTGAGGACATAAGCCTTATGATGGCTGAGGCTTACATATTAAACAAAATCATCTAAAATTTCTGTTGGTAAGGAGACACATTTATTTCTTTAAATTTGTATTCACCTTCCACCCCCACCCAAATGCAAGCCGGTCACCATATTCATTCTTTGTAAAATGCCTAACACGTTCACAATTTCATAGATGGATGACAATCGGACTTGAACTTAGGAGCAGTGTCTGGTCTAATACTATGTTGATTCACGCCATCTAAAATATAACTTGTTCGAGATGGAACACATTTATTTATTGAAATTTAGTCTTCAACGGTGTGCCTTTTGTTAGCTTCAACTTTATTCAAAACACAAGTAAAACTGAAGGAAAGAAGAATGTAAAGAATAACAAGATATATCTAGAAGAAACGAACACTAACAAGAAATGAATAAAAGAAGCAATAGTTTCCGAATCAAGTTCGAACAAACAGGCACGCAAGTCAAATGAAAGTGCATATATTTGTCCCATTACGAAAAGGGTTTTCAAAATAGAAAACAAAAAGTTGCAGACGCTTTCTTGGAAAAAGCGAAAAAAATAGCACAAAGACTAAGTTCGGTTTAGTAAATAAGAGCCCCACAAAGCAGAATAAAAACAATATGTCCTTATTTTTTGTAGTAATGTTATTCATGATGAAGATTATCGATAGTTGTCCTACATGGTTTACACGTGCCACTTTGTTACTTGAAGCATTATATTCTATGTTATCAAGAAATAACTAAAGGAGTGGCAAAGTATTTTCAGATTTTTACCTTTCACAAGTCAATTCACAATTTCACCCGTTTCACTTGAAGCATCCCCCGAATCAAGATTCAAGAAAGATAAATCTTAGAGAACTTTTTCAAGAAAAACTCGAAATCAGCATCTTGTGTTCATAACTAAACAAAATAAAAAATAAAACAATCGTGAAAATTAAAGAACGTCCAATTTCCCCATTCGATCACAGTTGAAAACCCTAATCAAACAAGAGAAATATAAAACATTCCTCGGCAATTTATTGATTCAATTTTCAAACAATTTTAAACATGAATCATACCAAATCACCAAAAAGAAATGAAAAGAGCCGAAAAAACGAGTCCACAGTTTCTTTGGGAAAATAAGTAGAAAAACTCAGTTTCCATTAGAAACTGATACAATGTAAGTACAGTCCATCGATACACATGCATGGCGATAGAAAAAGGTGGTTCAACAAGTACCAACTCCTGCATGACACATGCAACCCTACTCTAAAATCGAATCTTTTTAACCCAAATTTATTCAAGAAAAAAAATCAGTTCTGCAAATCTTAGTTTCATTTCATCGATCGATCTTCCCCAAGTCTTAAAAGGAATTAAACTAAAAACCCCATAATCTTTTGCATCAAAATAGATAGAGAGGCGTAACTTTTATTGCAGTTCTCGAAAAAGAAAAGTGAATGGAATCCCTGAATTACATGAAATAGAGGAGAGACAATGGGGGCATACCTGGAATCGGGAGCTGCGAATGAGAAAGCAGAAAGGGTTTGCTATATTTTTTATAGTGAAGAAAATCCTGGACGAAAATGGGGACCTATTTATATATTTATTGTTTTGTGAGGATGAATTCATAAACTTATAATTTTTTTGGAAAATGCTTGTTGTATTTACGGATTGATGAAATGACGATAAATTGAATTAAAACGGTCAAAATCTATTCATGACTTAAACGGTTATCTTATATACTGTGGGTTAGTGGCAGAGAGATTGGGGATTTTTTTTTAAATTTGTCAAAATCTCACTACATCATATATTGGTAAACAAGTCTCTGAGTAATGATGCACACAATCAAATTTTTATTTATATTTAATGATTTCGATAAGATATAGCCCTTGTTTGAGCCCCATTTTAGGAAAAAAAATTATTTTTGAATAGTATTTTTTTGAAGAATTTGTGGTTA